TTTTTGCATCTATGTTCATCAGAGATATTGGTGTGTAATTTTCTTTTTTGGTCAGGTCTTTGCCTGGTTTTGGTATTAGAGTGATGCTGGCTTCACAGAATGAGTTTGGAAGTATTCCCTCCTCTTCTATTTTTTGGAAAACTTCAAGGAGAATGGGTATTATGTCTTCTCTGTATGTCTGATAAAATTCTGAGGTAAATCCATCTGGCCTGGGGGGTTTGTTCGTGGGTAGTTTTTTGATTACTACTTCAATTACTTTGCTCATAATTGGTTTGTTTAAATTTTGTGTTTCTTCCTTGGCCAGTCTTGGAAGGTTGTATTTTTCTAGGAAGTTGGCCATTTCTTCTAGGTTTTCCAGCTTGTTAGCATATAGGTTTTCATAGTATTCTCTAATAATTCTTTCTATTTCTGTGGGGTCCGTCATGATTTTTCCTGTCTCATTTCTGATTCTGTTTATGTGTGTAGATTCTCTTTTTCTCTTCATAAGTCTGGCTAGGGGCTTATCTATTTTGTTTATTTTCTCAAAGAACCATGTCTTGGTTTCATTGACTTTTTCTATTGTTTTACTCATCTCAATTTTATTTCTATCTTCTCTGATCTTTATTATGTCTTCCTTCTGCTGACTTTGGGCCTCATTTGTTCTTCTTTTTCCAGTTTCAATAATTTTGACTTTAGACTATTCATTTGGATTGTTCTTCCTTCTTTAAATAGGCCTGGATTGCTGTATACTTTCCTCTTAGAACTGCCTTCGCTGCGTCCCACAGTAGTTGGGGCTTTGTGCTGTTGTTGTCATTGGTCTCCATATATTCCTTCATCTCTATTTTAGTTTAGTCATTGATCCATTGATTATTTAGGAGCATGTTGTTAAGCCTCCATGTGTTTGTGAGCCTTTTTGTTTTCTTTGTACAATTTATTTTTAGTTTTATATCTTTGTGGTCTGAGAAGTTGGTTGGTAGAATTTCAATCTTTTTCAATTTACTGAGGCTCTTTTTGTGGCCTAGTATGTGTTCTATTCTGGAAAATGTTCCACATGCACTTGAGAAGGATTTTTATCCTGCTGCTTTTGGGTAGAGTGTTCTGTAGATGTCTGTTAGTTCCATCTGTTCTAGTGTGTTGTTCAGTGCCTCTGTCTCCTTACTTATTTTCTATCTGGTTGATCTGTCCTTTGGAGTGAGTGGTGTGTTGAAGTCTCCTAAAATGAATACATTGCAATCTATTTCCCCCTATAATTCTGTTAGTATTTGTTTCACATATGTAGGTGTTCCTGTGTTGTGTGCATAGATTTTTATAATGGTTATATTCTCTTGTTCGATTGACCCCTTTATCATTAATCATTATGTAATGTTCTTCTTTGTCTCTTGTTACTTACTTTGTTTTGAAGTCTATTTTGTCTGATACAAGTACTGCAACTCCTGCTTTTTTCTCCCTATTAGTTGCATGAAATATCTTTTTCCATCCTTTCTCTTTTAGTCTGTGTATGCCTTTGGGTTTGAAGTGAGTCTTTTATAGGCAGCATATAGACGGGTCTTGTTTTTTTTATCCATTCAGTGACTCTATGTCTTTTGATTATTCACCACTCTATTTTAAAGTTGAATTGTGTCCATGGCTGCAAAGGACAGAGCCTTTTTTCTCTGATGATCAGGAGCCTTTGCAGAGAAGGATATCTGAGGCCTGAGAATCATAAATTGAGGAAAGCTGAGTAATCAGGAGCTTCCTGGAAGGGTGAAAAACACAGAGTTACAGAAGGCTTGTATTCCAGACCCTGCTCTGCTTCCAAATGGCTGTGGGATCTTGGGCCAATCCCTTCTCTTCTCTAGGCCTCAGTTTCCCTCCTGTACAAGGGGAGGATTCTTCTAGATGATCTAATAATTTCTTCCCTTCCCTCAGCCTCCTCTTAACCCTCTCTAAACCACCCCAGCCCAAACTGGCTCTGACATTCCAGAAGCCTTGAATTGAGATTTGAAAGCCCCAGGTGGTAGTTGCAACCCATCTCTGAATTTTCTTCTGGGCCCTGGGATGTAGGTCCTGGCAGGGTATCTGGCCTTGGCAGGTTAGAGTCAAGAGAAGGGAGGCCCTGTACCTCTGAGAAGGGCTTCAGGGAGGACTGCACTGTGATGACCTCATTCATTCTATGACATCACCCTCTCTCCCACTCCATGCCTCTCTGATCAACTGCTCTTGAAACAGTCATCAGTCAGAATCCCGAAGGCCTGAGAAAATATGTTCTCCAGTACTTGCTTCTGATCTTCTGCCTCAGTCAGCAAGAGGCACCATGAAATTAGAATTCGCTGAGAAAAACTACAACAGTTTTGTGCTGCAGAACTTGAACAAACAGAGGAAACACAGAGAGTACTGGGACATGGCCCTGACTGTGGACCATCATGTCTTCTTTGCACATCGCAATGTGCTGGCTGCTGTCTCTCCACTGATGAAGAGCCTCATCTCCAGCAATGTCATGAAGACCACTGATGAGCTCTTTATCACCATTAACCCCAACTACCTGAGTCCAACCACAGTGGACCAGCTCCTGGACTACTTCTACAGCGGCAAGGTGGTCATCTCAGAGCAGAACGTGGAGGAGCTCCTTCGCGGGGCCCAGTATTTTAACACACCGCGACTTCGAATCCACTGCAATGACTTCCTGATGAAGACCATCCGCCACGCCAGTTGCTTGCGCTACCTCTTCTTGGCTGAGTTGTTTGAGCTCAAACAGGTATCAGACTTGGCCTACTCTGGTATTCGCGATAATTTCCATTACTGGGCTAGTCCTGAGGGCTCCATGCATTTCATGCACTGTCCACCTGTCATCTTTGGCCGCCTGCTCCAAGATGAAAATTTGCATGTGCTCAATGAGGACCAGGCTCTCAGTGCACTCATCAATTGGGTGTACTTCCAGAAGGATGAGCGGGAAAAGTATTTCAAGAAGTTCTTTAATTACATTAATCTTAATGCTGTCTCCAATAAGATGCTGATGTTTGCTAGCAACAAGCTGATGGGCATAGAGAACAGCTCATCCCATGGAACCCTGATTGAGAGTGTTCTCATGGACCGGAAGCAGGAGAGGCCATGCAGTTTGCTGGGCTACCAGCGGAAAGGAGCCCTGATTGATTCGGTGGTCATCCTTGGTGGCCAGAAGGCCCATGGCAAGTTCAATGATGGAATGTTTGCCTATATAATCCAGGAGAACCTGTGGTTGAAGCTCTCAGAGATGCCCTATCGGGCAGCAGCACTTAGTGCCACCTGTGCTGGTCGCTTCATCTACATTTCTGGTGGCACCACTGAGCAGATTTCAGGGCTGAAGACAGCCTGGCGGTATGACATGGATGACAACTCCTGGACCAAGTTGCCTGACCTACCCATTGGGCTTGTCTTCCACACCATGGTGACCTGCAGGGGGACAGTTTACTCGGTGGGTGGGAGCATTGCCCCAAGGCGGTATGTCTCCAACATCTATCGCTATGATGAGCACAAGGAGGCCTGGTGCCTGGTGGGAAAGATGAGCATCCCTATGGATGCCACAGCGGTGATCACCAAAGGTGACAGGAACCTGTACATTGTCACTGGACGGTGCTTGGTGAAGGGCTACATCTCCCGGGTTGGAGTGGTGGACTGTTTTGACACCATAACTGGTGATGTAGCCCAGTGTATCACCTTCCCCATTGACTTCAGCCACCAGCCCCTGCTCTCTTTCCATGACGACAACATCCTCTGTGTGCACAGCCATCAGCAAAGTGTGGAAATCAACCTGCAGAAGGTAAAGGCCAGCAAGATGACCACCTCTGTGCCACTCTTGCCCAACAACTGCCCCTTGGATGTGTCCCATGCTATCTGCTCCATTGGTGACAGCAGAGTGTTTGTATGTGGGGGTGTCACCACAGCCAGAGATGCGCAGACGAAGGACTACATCATTAATCCCAACGCCTACTTGCTGGACCAAAACACAGGCAAGTGGAAGACCCTGGCCCCCCCACCAGAGGCACTAGACTGTCCTGCCTGCTGTCTAGCCAAGCTACCTTGCAAGATTCTTCAAAGGCGTTAAACAACTTTTTAAGTGGGAGAATAAGCAAATGCTTTATTATTCACAATTTAATGAGAGAGAAAGGAAGATGGCCTGTTGTTTCCTTCTTAGTGTTCTAGTCTCTTTTTCCTGAAGGTGGTGATCCAGGCTAAGGATGCTCCCAGTGGGTGGACATTCAGGGGTCCTCGGTGACTAGAGGGATCCAAGCAGAAGCTGGAAAGGAATCCTCATGGGTGGGACGGAGACATCTGAGCACTGGCCAAGGTGGTATCTGGGAAGCCCCCTGTCTTATCTTTCCTATGGTCACTCGCTGACACTGGCTAAACTAACAGGTAAAGCACTTGCTTAGAGTACGAAGCCTCAGACTCCTCCAGCACTCACTGGTCCTCCTGGAAAGGGAGGAGAGAGCCCACAGCAGGTCTGGGGAAGAGCCTCATGCCCACTGGCAGGTGAAAGTGGTGTGGGCAGGGCTCAGGGATGAGGGCAGAGGGAAGGCCAGAGGCAGGGCTACTAGACTGCTGTATTTATGTACACGTCAGACTAGGCTGGTATGATGTGTTTGTGTCTCATTTTATGGTAAAGGTGGGACGTTACTAAGCAACCCAGTAAGCAGGGTTCATTGAGAACTTTCTCTGGGAATATAAATGTCTGAAGGTCTGGAGTGAAGAGAGGTCAGTAAAGGGAGTTGCCCCTTATGAGAGGTTTCAGTTACCTACTGTCAGCCTTGGTCCGGAAGCAGATGATCCTCCTCCTGATGAGTCTTCAGAAGGTTAATGTATGCTACTGTATCACAGTGCCTACGTCATTCACTTCACTTCATCTCATCATGTAGGCATTTTATCATCTCACATCATCACAAGAAGAAGGATGAGTACAGTACAAGAAGATACTTTGAGAGAGATACAGAGACCACATTCACACTTGCTACACTGTGTTGTTGTACTTGTTCTGTTTGACTTTTGGTTACTATTAATTTCTTACTGTGCCTAGTTTACACATTAAACACCAGAGACGGTTGGAGCATCAGCTGTGGTGGGTGGCATCTGGAGTCAAGGGACTCAGTGGTCAGCTAAGCCTGGATGTGGGGCAAGGGTCCAGGTTCTTGCGCCCTTATATTAAGTAAATTCCAATAAAATGCTCCCTGAGACTCCCTAACTCACAGCCTTGGTGAGCTTTCCCCGATTTTAACTACCTCTGTTTCCCTTCCATTTATTTGTGTACCTATGTATAATCTTCAACAATTTAGAAGAAACTGAGCAAGTCCTTAAAAACCATATATAATGCTATTTATCCATTGACTTATTCATTCATGAGTTTACTTACTCATCCACTCATCAGTTCTCATACACATGCACGCATACACACACACCATTCACAGAGACCTCTCTCTGTAGCTCCTTGTCGGAGGTGATGGGGCCACAGTCTTGACACAGACAAGCCATGCTCCAGGAAGGATTATCTATACCAGTGCTATGCAACAGGAATACAATGTAAGCCACAGATGTAATTAAAAATGTTATAGTACCCACATTAAAGTAAAAATAACTGAAGTTAATTTAAATAATATATTTGATTTAACACAATTTATCCAAAATATCACTTAAGTAAGCAATGTAAACATTTATTAATGAGATATTTATTTTCATGCTAAGTTTGGTGTTTGGTGTGTATTTTACACTTACAGCACACTCAATTTGTACTAAACACACACACAAGGCCCCAGGAGGCTAGTGGCTCGTGTATTAGACAGTGCAGCATATTTTAGATAGTCTCACAGTTCAGATCTGCTCCACTCCCCACCCCCTCCCAGTCCTGCTCAGCCTGCTCAGCCTCGTCTCCATGACCTCTCTGTTGAGTGACTTCTGTCTTCAGAGCCTACCCTACTGCCCAGGTCTTACTCTCCTCCTTCCAGGCAAGGAAGGACCTTGGATTTCACAGCTGACCCTCTCTGCCCTGGAACTTCTCCCACACTTCTCACTGCTCCAGCCCTGGGCCACCCCTGCCTCTGCTCACCTCACTGCCATCCCCTAGCTAGAAGAACAGGGTCAGATTCATGCCTCTAAGCGCGGCTGCCCCACCTCCACCGACCAGGCTGCACTGACCACTGAGTCCCCTCTTCCCGACTCCAGATGCCATTCCCCACAGCTGATTCTCCAACCTTCTCCTTCTCTCCCCTCTTTCTCAAGCCACTTAACTCTCATTGTGCTGCCAGCTCTCTAGAGAAATAAAGGTCAGATGACTCGAGATCCATGAACAATCCCATGTTCACCAAAAGTCTCTCCAGATTTCTGCTGCTTTTCTGCATCTCAGAGGATGATTCCATGAATCAAAGCTGACCCCTCCCATCTCTCCATTCAGTCACTTCATAACTTCTCAGGCTCCTACATTCCCTCTCTGGCCACATCTCCTTCCTGATCTCTGCTCTTCAGCCCATAAATATTCTCAAGTTTCTCCTGTTCTGAAAACAAGCTCTCCTGAGCTCTGAGGCCTACCTCCAGCTATGGGCCCATCTCTTTCTTCAGTTGAGCTTCCTAAATGTTGTCAATGGTCTCTGCCTCCATCTTTCACTTCCAGATCAGTCTCTAACCATCTATTCCCCCCATGCCACTGAGCTGTCTCCTGACAACACTGTCCCCTTTGTCCTTTTTCTCAGTCATGTTCCTTCCCCTTGCAGTACTGGGTAGTATCAGCCACTTCTGCCTGCCACTGAATCACTAGGGGACTGCGAAATGGGAGCTCCTTGGCATAGTAGGATTATACTTTGATATTTTCACCTGTGGTCCTTCCCTCCCTCCCTCTTTCCTCTCCCACACTGAAACTAGACTATAAGGCAGAAGCAAAAGCAGCTTACCACTGAAGAGGCTGGCGCGGCTGAATGTAGGAATCAGAGTCAGATTCCTGGCTTTTGCTACCAGGGAAGCTTTAGCAATCAGAGCAGAGATTATGGTCTTGAAAGACAAGGTTTTTGAACTACAACTCAGGTCTTCAATCTTGGGCACAGGAAGCCTGATTCAAGGGAAATTCAGACATGTACAGTTTTAAGGGAATTGGGTTTCTAGAGTGTCGACTTTTTTCTTCAAATCGATATACCTGAGAATATACCTGTGGTGGTGATTTCATTCTAGTTCTCTTTTCCCACCTTCCCTTTCAAAATTATCCTTCAAACACTTTACACACACACAGAAAGTAACTTTTGCCCCTTGCAGCTCGTCCTGGGATGCACTACCCCAGGAAGCCACTTTGGGGTATAAACTGGTATCAATGAAGCATCACTGAAGCCTCCTTTCATCAAGACACCAACATCCAAAGAAGAATTTGCCGTATTTTTCTGTCTTATCTATACAGTATTTCTGTAAGGTGTGAAGTCTGGTGTTAAAAGCTGTAGTATTTTGGTCCAAGTTCAGTTTTTCAGAAATTTTAAGTAGCAAATGAAATGATGGCATTTTGAAAATCTTTATTGGGATATAATTTACATACTATACAGTGCAATCAAAGTACAAATTCAATTACCTTTAGTATATTCACAAGTGTTGTGCAACAATTACCACAATTTTCAAACATTCTCATTACCTGAAAAAGAATCATCACACCCCTTAGCTGTCACTCTCTAACCCCTCATCTTCCCAGCCTTAGGTGACTACTTATCTAGTCTCTCTCTCCTGCATTAGCCTATTCTAGACATTTAATATAAATGGAATCATATAATATGTGACCTTTTACCTGGTTTCTTTCAGAGTGTTTTCAAGTTTCCTTGTTGTAGCATGGGCCAGTACTTCATTCCTTTTTATTACTGAAAAATATTCCGTTGTATGGATATATCACATGTATTGATTCATTTATCAGTTAATTGATGGGCATTTGGGATGTTTACACTTCTTGACTATTATGAATAATGCAAACATTTGTGTACAAGCTTTTGTGTTCTTGAATTTTTCATTTCTACTGGGTATATAACTTGTAGTAGAATTGTTGGATCATATGGTGACTCTACATTTGTCCATTTGAGGAACTACCAGACTGTTTTCAAAGCAGCAGCATTATCTTACATTCTTTGTTGTTGTTATTTTTTATTTTGGCATCATTAATCTGCAATCACATGAGCAACATTATGGGTACTAGACTCCCCCCATCATCAAGTCCCCACCACATACCCCATTACAGTCACTGTCCATCAGCGTAGTAAGATGCTATAGAATCACTACTTGTCTTCTCTGTGCTGTACTGCCTTCCCCATGCCCCGCCTCACCTGCTACATTATATGTGCTAATCACAATGTCCCTTTTCCTCCCTTATCCCTCCCTTCCCACCCATCCTCCCCAGTCCCTTTCCCTTTGGTAGCTGTTAGTCCATTCTTGGGTTCTGTGAGTCTGCTGCTGTTTTGTTCCTTCACTTTTTTCTTTGTTCTTATACTCCACAGATGAGTGAAATCATTTGATACTTGTCTTTTTCTGCCTGGCTTATTTCACTGACCATAATACCCTCTAGCTCCATCCATGTTGTTGCAAAT